GGGTCGTAAGCCCACAACGTGGCTTCCTCTTTTGCATGCGAGGCATTGTTGTAGACACACAGAAGGGGTTTCACTATTTCCTTTCCGACTATTCTACACTTTTTTTCACTTTTTTTTTTCATTCATTTTTTGTGTTCGCTCCGCTACAATTGTTGCGAAAAGAAGTTCACTTCTAAAGGATTCACGCTGTGCCCAAACAGGACAATAGAAATGTAATTTTAATCGAATCGAAGTGTTGAGTTGCACTCAACGTTATTGTTATTATCATTAAAGTACAATTTTTTTAATAGTTATGAGCATGGATTTTACTGTTTTGTATTTTTAAAATTTGAAGTTTAAAAATTAAACGCCGAAGGACTCTTGTCATAATTTTGTATTGTACAAACAACTGAATTGACACAGCATGAATTCATTACTTTTGAAATCAGTTGGAGTTTAATTTGAAAAGTGTGAAAAGAATTTATTGAATTTAATAAAGAAAATTAATTTAATTTTTTCTGAAAGCCATTATTAAAGGAAAACATACACGCAGGACTCTACGCCAAGGCGAAAACATTGTCTGCCTTGTCGAAAAGCTTAACGTTGGTATGCAATCTCATTATAAGATGAAAATATTTCATTCTACTTATTAAATAGCATTAATATAAATCATTAAAAATAATATTTGCGACTTAATCGAAAAACACAACTCCCAGGATGAATATCCTGGTCATTCCCAAACCGTCTCTGTTAATTGTAAAAACAAACCGCGCTAATGAATTTTTATTTTCCGTTTGTCCTTTTGCTGGTTACTTGACACCAACAAATTGGCTACAAATTATTTGCTCCCCTCGTATAGCAACAAAGCAAATAACAATACAATTATTATACGAGTATACAAGCTAAATTTTTAAACCGAGATATCCTTTTCACATAGCCAATATTGATTTAACTTACTCCTTTCTTAGTATTTCTACTTACTCCTTTCAGAGTCACCTTTTGAGTTGGTAATTTTACATTTGAATGCTCAAAGGATAATATTCCCATCGTTATGCCTAATGAGCTCAAAAATGTGTATTAGTTTGAGTGAAGAAAGGGAACTTTGGAAGTCAGTTGCTGTACTTTTGAAATAACCTTAGCATTCGATTTATATCAGTGCTGTCTAATATGGGATCTACGGTTAATTGAAAGTATTAATGGGGCAGTTTCAGTTTAAAGGAACTATTCAAATTTACAAAAATTTATTTATTTTGATTAATTCAAAATCAGTTAAATATACAATATTCTCTTTCTTAAAAGAAGTTGGAACACGTACAGATTATGTTATCTATTATATGTCAAGATCACTTTTTCAGAAACTTATAGTAGCTATAGTTATATACGTACCAATATGCTATTAGATTCAAACTGTATTATGGCAAAAATAGAAAATAAAAAATATCGAATTATGATTAGCTATGACAGTCATAAATCTACGGTAATAAGTCTATAGATTATAAACGCTTTTAGATAGAGCATACCACAAAAATCGTATGGAAAATAGGAAGATAGGTAGATATAAGAAAGATTAGTGAATAGATAGATAGATAGAAGATAAAACTTATATATTCTTGAAAATGCTAAACGCACATATAAGAAGGTTTGTATGGAATACACAATCACTAATGACACGATACTCTAAAACATAAATCATATGTAATACAATATATATATTCACTGTACATTAATAATTCTTCTAGTCTTTACTGCTAATGTTTCAAGTAAAAGTATTCAACATCCTTAAAACCTATACTCTCGCTGCGAACTTAGATTTTCACTATATTGCCACGGATGGTAAGGAACCTATTAAAACTATTTCAGCAGGTTCCATCTCGTTCAAGATAGTTCACGAATGTAGGTGATTTATTAACTTATTAAGTATAAGTTCTAAGATAACTCTAACTTCATTAGTATACGAATATAGCGATTAAAGGACCTCAGCTGGCTAGACTTGGTGCCTTCTAGATAAAACCTTTCGTATCTTCTATCCCTACTCCTTTGAGTTATACACAAATTCTCTTCTTGTCTGAGAAAAGCGACTTGATACCTTTTCAATAGAACCTCCCGTATCTTCTATCCCTACTTCTGCCAGTAATAATCAAATTATCTCTTTGTCTGTGAAAAACGACGTGGCTTAATATAGAACTAAAAGACGACAAGTAGATATGATAGACTTTTTTATACCTTCGGTAAGGCTTATTCAGATCCAGGCTTAAGATTATATGCAGCCCATTCAATAATTAATCAGCGATATATTTAACATATAAATACTTGCATACATCAATGTATTGGTTTGGTAATATGCCCAAAGTTCTATCCATAATTACATAGTATGTTTATTATGTGAGAATAAAACTTCCAAACGTATTATTTCATATTCTGATGATATGAGTTGTCCACCAAAATCATCTGATTCGTCACCCTTTCGATTCTTTTTGGAGGCTATCCAAAATTTTGTATTTATGTGGATAATTTAAGTCTTATGGTGCTTGGAAGAGGACTATTCCTCAAACTATGACTGAGAATTTTTTAGCTAGGTGCCGAAAAGTCATAGAAAATCATCTCAAAAGGATTCAATACTGATTGATGATCCATGGAGGACATATGAATGATATTCTGTTTTACAACTAATGATAAGATCTAATGATAGATATGATACGAACCAAATAAAAGCAAGATATTGATGGAAGTCGTGACTGTAACTATGTTTTTTTACGCTTACATTTAGTGACCACAAAATCAATATATGTTTTACATGTTATGTTATATTTGTTAATATATATGTTATTTATATGTTGATTTAGGCTTTGTGGAATGTATGGTGTTTATAGTTTTAACTTCATCTATTTCAAATTTTTAGGATCCCAGCCTAATCGGCGAAGTTTCTCTATCTGTAAGAAAAGTAAATCAAAAATACTTTACCAAGTAGTGGAATCGGAAAAATCGGACAATAATGGAGTTTTTTGATTTAAGGTATATTTCGGGAAAAGTTTTCTCTTACATTCGATGTTACGGTGGTTAATGAACATTTTACTTTGATAATGAATTAGTCGATTGTAAGCTTATGTAGCTTCTTGAAACCTTCTTTGCAATCGATCTATAAAAAAATTATGAAAAAGGTTTTCGATATGCCAAAAGTACTCCTTTAAATGAACATATTGTTTAGTTCTGTTTCACAATTATAATAAAGACATACCATTTTCCATTCTAAATTTCCTATATCCTTCTGAAATTATTGTAGATATCTTGATGCTTAAAATCCAACACTCAATTTAATACAAAAAAAAACAACAAAAGAAAACTATAGCACAATTCTAAAATCACCTTTTTGCTAATTTGGTAATGAATAAATTAAGAGACTATATCCTTATTAACAGTAACACAATCCTTGCTGTATAGACCAATATATACAAAAACGAAATACGAAAAGGGATCAAACTATTGAATTATTAATGAGGAGAAATAAATTTTACAAATTAGCTTCTCCATTGTGTTTGATTGAAAAGAAGCGTAAACAACGATCAATTTTATGTTAACAAGGATATCGAGAAATACGATCTCCAGTGTGTAAATATCACAAGGATCAACACTTGGCACGTTGATAAGCATCTCGACGGAATTCTAAATTCAAATTGTCGGGACAAAATTATGCGTAATTTTAGAGCAGCGAGCAAAAAAAATCGAATAAATAAAATTTCCAAATTGAATTGTTTGCATTGAAGTAAAGATCCAATTACCCAGGATAATGATGAGGTGTAAGGAACTGTAATAAGATCGCACTGCATTTGCGTCAGAAGCTGTTGTTGTTGTTGTTGTTGGTGATCTTGTATTATTGCGTCTGTTGATGTTTAGAGGGCAGAATATGTCGTAGGCGCATACGCCTTGTGTCAAAACATGTTGCAAACGATCCTTTGCAGTGATCCTTTGCAACGATCCTTTGGATAAACAAAAAAAATTAGTAATGATTAAGTATTTAGTAGAAATTGAGTTTATAAGGATGTAAGGATTCTTGGTAGTAACAAATTATTTTCTTGTTAAGATACTCGTTTGTCAATTTGAAATCAAACAGTTGTGTAATGTTTTGTGTGTAAGGATCAAGAAGTGAGCGCTGACTTTGAACACTTGACCGCTTAACAATGTTTCTGGATCCTTTCTTTAAAATTGTTTTTTTTATTGTTTGCAAGGATTGTGATTTTGAGATCTTAAGTGGCTGCAATTTTTGACAACTTCATTTTGACAATTCAACTCACTTAAGCTAAGAATGCTTAGAAATCGTATATTTTTAACATTAATTATATATTATATATAACATTACGTCAACATATTAGTTTTTCGCTTGTTTGAGTAGCTCTTTGAGGTTTCATATTAAATTTCTTTGTAATACTTGGTTGTGATTAGAGGCAGACAATCACTGGTCGTGTTCAAGTATTTATTGGCGCCGATCGATTTTGGTATGCAATGGCATATGCCATTTCGTGGTTAATATTATTATAGGTATATAAAAATAGAGAGTAAATATTTCGTCAAAAAAAAAAAAATTCTTCCACTTAAGATTGAAAGAATTCTTGATAATATATTATAAAACTCAAACTAAAAGACTCTGAATTTCTGAAATAAAGCATATGATAACTTTGTATCCATTATAGAGTTTAATTTAGTAATTTTTCTCAACTATTTTTAATTATTTTATTTCAAATTATTAATTTATTATTATGTTATTATAATAAAATAAACGATAACATTTATTTTTAAATATACATAGCGGATGAAA